ATAGGGAAAATTACATTGTTAGGGATTTCTTGACTACATTTTGTAAGATATTTAATACATAGAAGTATATAAGAACCCAACAATTTTTTCTTAAGTAATATATAATTGTCCTTGGACAGATAAAATATGTGTCATTGGAAACTATCTGTCAATATTGTCATGTTTTATTTAATTTTAATTTTACACAGAACAGTTCAAACATATTTTAGTTTCATAATACCATTGCCATATATAAACATTTTACACAGATAAACCTTGAATTATTTTCTTCAATTTCTCAAACAATTTCATATACTAAATGCAGATTGTCAGAATTAGTATTGTATAAAATAAGGATATATGTGGTATGATTGCCAATGAGACAAATATCCAACAGAGTTTAAATGACAGGATTAAAGCAACTATAAGTCAACAAATGGTCTTCAATAATGAGTAAAACCCATACCTTATACAAGACCCTGACATAACAGAATGGATCAAAGAACATTATTTTTCCAGTTCCAAGAATATTACTGGTAGTGTAATATTTCAATATTTTTTTTTATTTACAGATTGTTTGTTCACTGTTGGTCACTTAATGTAAGTGGGAAAAACTGATTGGATAAAGATATTAAACAGTCTTTATAGTACAGGTGAAATATGTGAGTTTTCACAGTAGTAAATTTGTTTGTTCTTTTTGAATATGGGACATTTCAATAGTAAAATTGAATCGATATTAATATTTTGCATTGTAATTGGCCACTGTACCATTTGTAGTTAAATTAAAATAAAGTTGTTATGTTTTGATTTTGATAAAACAGTTTACCTTTTACTGCTATAAAATGTTTTATTCTTTATTTCATCTCTCAATTTCAATTTTTGCAGGAGAGTCATCTGATTGTGGAAGTTTGTGTAGTGGAAAGAAGGAGTTACATACAGATGCTGTTTTGAATCATAAGAAATGACTGATATTAATTCATTTCTTCAGTTCCTCATTAGCTTCTTCACAAGGAATAAATTGTGTAAGGAGTTCTAAATTCCTATTTAAAGACCTAACTTTTTTTTCCATTTGAGTGTATGAAAGCAAATTAATTGAATTCATTCTGAATACTGAGCTTATATAGTTTTATGTACATGTATATGTGCCTTTTCTTTATTTGACTTTTTATTTATAAGTTATTTAAACATTAATAATTTTATTCTTTGTATGAGAAGCTATAATCAATCAACTATATATTTTTTTCTCTCCTGCGATGAATGTCGGGGAAAGTGAGACATAAGGGTTCCTTTTCTGGCGACGATGGCTCTGGCATCAACAATTGTTAAGTTTTCTGCTTAAGTTAGTAAGTTTGACAGGTATTACTTGTGATAGATAATTGATATTTAATATAAAGTTGTATTATTATCAGTACATATCAGTTTGACAACTATTTTGAGACCCTGTCCCTAGGATATGGTGCAGTGACTTGGATTTAATTAGAGATTTTCAATATTAATAGAAAAACAAAGGATATGGAGTATCCATCCATGACACAAAATCTGTAAATGCACAACAAAAAAACATACAAAAAGCAAAGGAACAGTGCTTTTATTGCTGTTTTCATCTCAAAGTCACAGTGAGACCTCAACTCGGAGCAAAAAAACTCTCACTTCACTGCAAGTTTAAGATGGCCCCTAGCACCGGCTTTAGCGGAATTCTTTGCAAAAATAATTTGGATAGACTTTGTAAGGTGTAACACCACTCAATCGGGCTAAGTCATAAAAAGAACATACTGGAAAGTAGTACATATTTAAAACAAAAAAGTTTACTGCTTAAGTTAGTTTGATAGGATCTAATTCTGACACACACATTACAATATATCCAAAAATAAAGTAATTGTCTGATACAGAAGTATTATATGTTTTGAAGAATAATGCTGTTTTTGCCTTCTTTGTTTTTATTCCCTTTGAAAATATATCATTTTGTCCAACAAATTTTAAAAAAATCCACATCAAGGATTTGTAATATTGCAAATATTTGACCCGATAACAATTTAGACTGTTGGAATCATCATTGGCATCATAATGATATCAAGTTTGACCTGACATGAGGAAGGCAAGTGTCATAAACTTATGAAACAATAAAATTGAGAATGGAAATGGGGAATATGTCAAAGAGACAACAACCCGACCAAAGAGCAGACAACAACCGAAGGCCAACTATGAAACAAGTTTTGTTTTGGATCAAGAAAATACTCAAATTAATACAATAAACAATGTATACATTGACATATACACACATTAAAATTAGATGATTTATGTGAGAATCTTTTTTTTTAAGCTAATCTGGCAATAGTGACTAATTGTGTCTTCATACTCAGTTCATTGTTTGTCGTCTGTAAACCTTTTAGCTCACATCCCCATAAAGCCACTGAACTACTGTATAAACTTACTTGTTGTCCATTGTAAACTTTTTACCAAACTTGAGGTGAATGGTTCTTATGGTGTCTAGTATAAACTTTGTTGTTTTTTTATTCTGGTCAGTCTGTACACAGCAAACACGTTTGGGTGAGTCTTTAAGGAATTATTACCCTTAAATAGTGATTTAATCAATTTTTGCATTTTGGGCAAATTCAATAGTAGTTTAAAAGAGAAACTGTAACCAGCCAAAATGATCAGCAATATGCATGATTTACAAATAAGATATGAGTGCTGAATTAGAATCGGGTCTATAATGTAAGAGAGTGGCCATTTTTGAAGATGCAAATAGATCCAAGTGAGTGACACAGACTATTGTCTAGTTAAAAGAGCTTCCCTGAAACTAATGAACCAATTCAAACCAAAGTGACATGATCGATGGTGCTTAGTGGTGTGTAAAATATTGCTTAAATATTGTATGGCAATAAAAGACGAGTTGAAACAAAAAAAGATCAGCATTTTAGGCGCATTCATTGAGCCTGTAGTTTACCGTTTTGCTGTGACTGATAACAGCTTCATATCAGGATCAGTGCTGAACTTATATACTTTGTTGTGTCTTTCTGACGAAGTTTTGTTTACCTTTAAAATGTCACAAAGAGTGGGTCATGAATTAAATTGACCACTGTCTCGAGTCACAGGGAGGACTGGGCACTAACAAACATTATTAACCCTGCCAGGTTCTGTATGCGTTTGTCCCATGTCATGGAGGATCAAATTGAGAATGGATGCGGGGAATGTGTTAAAAGAGACAACAATCCGACCAAAGTGCAGAAAACAGCCCATAGCCACCAATGGGTCTTCAACACAGGTGCTGCTGTATTTCGGTGATTGTCGTTGGTTGCTGGCTTTCATGTTTTATTTTCGTTTCTGATTCTGATAGTGTGTTTTCAAAACAAGAATCGGACGAATTTGTAAAGATTTGGGCCGGTCCAGAATTGCTTGTACGATTTAATGCTAAACAATGATATATTATCCAATTAAAGGGGGCGTACGCATTCTACGCCCTCCCCCTTAATCCATACATAATTGGATTGAGGTGAGGGGATGGGTAGACAAGTGGACCCGCCCACTCTTATGGGACTACATGTCTCTTGCATATAGACTGTATGCCCCACTCCTGATGTTTTTTTTAGTGGTTCCCCTTTTTTTTTAAATCCTGGATCAGCACCGAATACGGTATATGAAACATTGATTGAAGATGAAAAAACAGGGTAAACCATGATGTAAAGCAATGCATATATATTACTCTTCAAGAGTATTTTGAAAACACACATTGGAACTGGAGCAAATGCATGTAGGGCTGGCCTACATCTGTGGTAACATCCCTTTTCGTCATCAATACAAATAAGTAGGATTATTTATCCAATGAAAGAAAAATAAATACCTATCGGATCGCTTGCCAACCGGTGTATTGAAAAAGTAAGATATGAAATAACGTATTAAGGGTAATCATGAATTTATACAAAATATATTCATTCGTATATCTGCATATCCTAGCTTGAGTTTTGTGAAAGGATCATGTACCGAAGTACCACCTATACCGAGAGTTCAAATTGTTTAAATTCATAATGAGAAAAATTACAATCATGGTTAAACTGATTCTTAAACAAATTCTTTAAATAGGAATTAACCATAAAGGTAATGAAAACCGTGTGTTAAACTTCAAACACAATACCAATATCAAAAGTTACGGCTACAGCGATTATTAAAAAGAAATAGAAAGGGAGTCATAAAATTTAAATTGCATGAAATATAATATAATAGCCCAATCATTGATGACCTCGGAGTCAATACTTTCTATTTCTGTTTTCTGATATTTTCATTGCTTATTTTACTATTTCTTATATTTTATTTTCTATATACCGTTTTTACTATCAAATGCACCCCCCCCCCCCAAAAAAAAATAAATAAAGAAAAATAAAAATATCACCAAAAACCTTTAAAAAGAAGGATAATGCGCACGTTTCCGGACTAGTGTAACAAGAGAGAAAAAAACAACCGTACGTAAAATCATAGCTGTATAAAAAAAAGCATACATCTATGGTAAAATCCAGGATTTGTATAGTGAAATCAAATCCTTGGTAAAATGAAACAGTCAGTCGAATACACCGCGAACCAAGTATAAGGTGTAAATGAAGTATTGCAGATTAACGACAAACTAGCTGCTATTAATTCGATCACACACACACAAAAAAAACAGCAAAAAGCAGAAAAAACAAATTAATAAAAAAAACACTGTCGGTAATGGTTATACTATCTACAACAGTAAAATGGAGGAACGACGTGGCACGTGGTTGTGATTAATACGCCGCCTAGATAAACAAAACTGTGTATTGACCTTTTAGTGATAGAAAAACAGAGTTCAAATATATAAATATTCATGTTATAACTTATTGTCATACTTCCGTCAAAACTTTTAAACCAATAGCATGACACAAATTATTTTTCGAACAGCTCTGATATTTTCTCTTAAATTATAGTCAAACCCAGAGTGGTTCGAACGAAATTTTCCAAGCATAGTATCATTGGTTTCCTTCCCCCTTACTTATATTCCCCTGTTACTACCTTCCATAAATGAAAATTGAAACCTTTAGATCCTAGACTATGCGTGCCTTCAGATATATGAAACGTTTTAGCCTTTTTGGTTTGTCAGTTTGTGCCGGTTGCTCTTTGAAATGGATGATACTTGACAGTCGAGTTTTAGCTGTTGAGAACGAGATCGACAATGCCAGCAGCAGTGAGAGAATGCGATTGAAACATGTACAGATCCTGTTCAGACACGGAGCACGAACTCCACTTCATATGACTCCTGGTATAGAGCAGGTATTTTGGGGAACTTTAATTTCGGATCTTGTTTCAATTAAACAGTGAAAATAATTGAATTTTCAGGCTTTCTTATTGTCATGATAATTTGTAACATGTTCAGTCAGAGATATAACTCTATAGGGTTATTACAGAAAATAACTTGTATGTGTTATTACAGATACTTTCATGAGTTGTCTACTCTTTATTCCTTAAATTTTCTAAATCTGCAATAACATGTGTTTGTTATTTGTAAAATAAATCAAAAATATTTTAATTTATAATGGGCTCTAGGGAACTCTTGAGACTTTGCGCAGAAACTAAATGCATAGCCTTGATAATTAATTTTTTAATTAAATTAATACATTTTTTATTAACCATGGTAAATCAATGAGACGAGGCTTTTAAGGGATAAAATTAGCTGTAATTTTAAGGGATAAAATTAGCTGTAATAACATAGCTTAGTTATTAAAGAAATGTAACCTATTAAATGAGACACTTGGGAATTACTGGGAAGCTTGTGCAGAACCTCATTACATGCTCTGGTCATTATTTCTTACAATAAATTATAATACATTGTAATTTAGCATGATTTATGTCTGAGAAAATGCTTTGGAGTGAAATAGAGAAGCTGTGATAACACCCTTTAGTATTACAGGCATATTTTTTCTGTAAAAACATATAGGTGTACTATGCAAAATTGGCAAACTATGAACTGTTATATCTTTCTATAGTTAAGTATACATAAAGACGATAGTAATATCAGTAGAACTTGTATGCATTTTAACTAAACTAGTGATGTATATTGTCCCTTTGAAACATGTAACATACATATGTTATCGCAGTTCTTTGATTTTTTAGTCCACAATAACAAATGTATGTTATTTTTCTGTAATAACCCTATAGAGTTATATCCCTCACTGATGTTAGAGTGGGGGGGGAGACTATTTTAAGGACGCCGGGATCGACACCTATTTTTACAACGGATAATCAGGGTATCGTTTCACAAAGCCTTCGTAATTCTACGTGTCATCGTACGTTCATCGTAAATAAATCGTAGGTTTTACAGCCGTTTCACAAAGCTGTCATAAGTTAAGATGAGCGTAAATAATACGTAAATCCTGGCGTAACTTACTACAGCTATACCCAGTCGTATCTCGATCATAGTTTATCCGTGAATATGAATTAAACCATATCTAAGATGGCTTTATTCTAAATCAAGATGCCGCAAATGTTAGAAGACGAAGAAGAATCTTCAATATTGGAACCACACTTTCTTCGTTTGATCATTTTGAAAATGAAATGGATATTATATCCAGATACAGACTGGATAGACACAGTATCAATGAAATACATTGGCAATAGAACCAGATATAAAACATGATACAAATAGGTCCAATGCACTTACTTCTGAAACGCAGGTTTTGTTAGCTTTGCGCTACTCACTGGTTCCCCGGTAAAGCGCCCATTTTATGACGCTGATTTGTCTCACCGTAACAAAGCAAAACTAACGACTTCGAGTTATATACCCGTAGCTTGTTATACTTATATCTAAGATTTTTATATTTCTTTATTATCTATAGTTTTAATTTATATAAAGTTTAGTACATATTGCACAACGATAGTGATCGTACTGGCCGTCATAATGTTTTCTTTGTAAACCTGTAATTCCCGTTAACGGATAGAAGATTAAGCAAGACTAAATATTTAGCACAACATAGAGTGTGATATGAGTTAAATTTGATTATCAGGTTACCATAAATAATTTTGTTTATAAGGTTACCATAAATAATTTTGTTCATGTTGTTAAATCGTCATTTATTCCAAATCATATCAGTCTTGAAAACTAAACAAAGTTGAAAACATGTTGGACAATAACTCTAAAACGCTTTAACCAATTTGCATGAAACTTTGGTGAATTGTTTATATCTGTAGATGTGAGCTCCCTTGCGATTTTTTGTCGAGCCTGCGACTTTTGTCGCAGAAAGCTCGACATAAGGATAGTGATCCCGCGGCTACGGTGGCGGCGGCGTTAGCTAACTTCTTGAAAGCTTTATATTTTAGAAGCTAGAAGACCTGGATGCTTCATACTTTGTATATAGATGCCTTATGTTACGAAGTTTCTGTCTGTCATATGTCCAATGTCCTTGACCTCATTTTCATGGTTCAGTGACTACTTGAAAAAAAAGTCAACATTTTTTGTAATGTTAATTTCTTTCTTATTATGAGTAATAGGATAACTATGTTTAGTATGTGCGTACCTTGCAAGGTTCTCATGCCCGTCAGACATTTTTCATTTTACCTCGATCTCATTTCATGGATCAGTGAACCAGGTTAAGTTTTCGTGGTCAAGTCCATATATCAGATACTATAAGCAGCAGGTCTACTATATTTGGTATATGGAATGATTGTAAGGTGTACATGTCCAACTGGTAGGTGTCATGTGACCTTGACCTCATTTTCATGGTTCAGTGGTCAAAGTTAAGTTTTTGAGTTTTGGTCTTTTTTTCTAATACTGTATGCAATAGGTCAACTATAAATGGTGTATGGAATGATTGTAAGGTGTACATGTCTAGCTGGCAGGTGTCATCTGACCTTGACCTCATTTTCATGGTTCAGTGGTCAAAGTATTCAGAGAAACAAAATTGTGACATTTTTGTGGAAATTTTGGGAAATTAAGCCCTTTCCAATAGATGGCGCTGCAAAATCTAAAAATAGCATAAAATCAAATTTTAAAGTTAGAATTTTTTTTCTCTTGACTATCATAACATTTGTGCAAAATTTCATTACATTTGGTTGATATGTCATGTGGACCCACTTATAAGCCTTTTGCATGGTTCTATCAAAGACTGGGTGTTAATAGAACAAAGGGGGTAAATTGCAAGTTTTTTGTTTTGTTTGAAAACCTTTATAGCTAGAGAAAATCTTGACATGGGCAAATTTTTTACGTTAGTTATGACTGACCTCTAAGTTCTGAACTTAAAAACTGAAGGTCTCCAACCTCAGACCACAGCTTATTTGAACTCCTGTGGTATTTCATTCCTCCACATCTTTACTTGAGTAGTAATGACTTCAGAAATTAAAACCAATAACGAATTGAAGAATTTGAATAGTTGAAATTTCAAGAATTTAGTATAAGTGTCTTTAATTGACTTTTACCATGTCCCTCCTTTATTTTAATGATTTTTGAACACTTATTTTTGGAGGTTATGGGGTGAATGACATCAAATCCATGAGTTGTACTTCAAACCAAAAAAATTTAGAAAGGATAGAAATAAATTGATGCATTCACAAGACATTTTTGAAAGTTGTGACATTTAACATATCTGAATTTGTCATTAGTGGAATTTGGCATCAAACAATTTAGTCTGTTGAGACTTACTGGTACAAGTAAGGGAATGTTGTTCCCATTTTGATACAGAAAGAATACCCCTATCTTGTCTAATAACTTCATAATGTGTTCATTTCTCAGGTTCATGATGAAGTGCTTGGCAATATTGTATTTGTGGACAAAGGGAGGTAATTCAAACATGCATATATTTATATACACATTTATTTGGTCCATGGAATCATAGCAAGTTAGTCTACATGTCAGTCTGATAGGGGTTATCTGATCTTTTTCTTCATTCACTTATGAACTTGCTATGGTCACATTATCAATTGTTATAAGTAAAACATGTCAGGCAGTTATTGTTAATTACATTTGGTTTACTGTATACAGTTGTTTTTTAAAAGTGGTCCAAGTTGCCTTAAAACCTTTTCCGAGTTGTTTAAAAAGTGGTCCAAGTTGTCTTAAAAAGTGGTGCAAGCTGCCTTAAGAAGTGGTCCAAGTTGTCTTAAAAAGTGGTCCGAGTTGTATTAAAAAGTGGCCCAAGTTGCCTTAAAAAGTGGTCCAAGTTGCCTTAAAAAGTGGTCTGAGATGTCTTGGTCTAATTTGTCTTTGGTCCAAGTTGTCATGTATTCCTGCAATAGTTCTATATCAAGTTATTTTTTGTCCACACCATATCTAAATATGATTTGAAATTATTCAAACTACTCTTCCAATCTTTCCATGAGTGATTTTGATCTCTTTGATTATTGGTGGAGGAAGCAGGAGTACCCCTAGGGAACCATGACATTCAGTAGGAAAACTTGCGAAGCCTAGTCAATTAATATAGGAATCCAACACACCTGCCACCAGGGATTTGAACTGACAACCTCCGTGTTGACAGGACTTGTGGTTGAAAATTATAGAACTGGCAGAGTATTAATAATACAATGCTTTGGTATGATATTACAATGAACCAAAAAAAAATTCTTCTCAAAGATTATGAAACTCATCAGCTCTGTTATTTTACAGGCAACATATCCAGTAAACATGTTGATACGACTTGCACCACACACCATGGTTGATATGGAATTTTTAAGTGCAGAAGGGAAAGAACTGTTACCGTCCAGATTTGATGCTCATTATCAAAAAACTAAATTGAAGGTAAGAATACAGATAACACAATCAATCAGGTATATTTTTTTTTCAAGAAATATTTTTCAAGGATATCAGTTAAAAAAGAATAGCTTCATGTACGGAATGGATTAATAGGAGAGAAAATGGTCAGAAACATTCAGTTTATTTGTACATGTATATGACCAGCCAGGGCTATCACTTAAATAGGTGATTTCAGAATTTGAAAATTGATAAAGTTAATAAAATTTGACACAAATTCTATCAGCATAAGCTGTAAGAATTTTTGAATAAGTACAAAACCTTGAGGTTAATCATTCTAAAAATAAAGAAGTAAAATCAGGTAACTAAGAATTGTTAACCTTTGTCTTACTAACATGACTGATAAGAGTTAAGTTAAGGGTACTTTTTATACGACCGCAAAAAAATTTTGTGGTCGTATATTGGTATGACGTTGGCGTCGTCGTCGTCGTCCGGCGTCGTCGTCCGAAGACATACTGGTTTTCGCACTCTAACTTTAGTTTAAGTGAATGGATCTTTTTGAAATTTGACCATAAGGTTGAATACCACAAAAGGAAGGTTGGGATTGATTTTGGGGGTTATGGTACCAACAGTTAAGGAATTAGGGGCCAAAAAGGGGCCAAAAATAAGCATTTTCTAGTTTCCAGACAATAACTGTGGAACGGTGTATGGATCTCTCTGAAATTATACCATACCTCAAAGGGATGGTTAGGATTTGCTTTGGGGGGTTATGGCTCAAACCGTTTAGGAATTAGGGGCAAAAAAGGGGGAAAAACAAGGTTGTCCTGGTTAATGGACAAATACTTTTGTACAAAACATAATTTAAAGCAGTGTAAGGGAGATAAATCAAATACATCATTGAGATTATCTCCCTTACACTGCTTTTAAATTATGTATAAAGTAATGGTTAATGAACTAAAGATAATTTAAAACAGTGTAAGGGAGGTAATCAAAATACAACGTTTTGGTTACTTCCCTTACACTGCTTTTAAATTATGTTTAAAGAAATGCATATCTATAAAGGAAGACCAGTAAAAATATCTGCAAATGTTGCATCTTTTTTTTTTACAAAAAAATCCATATGAAAGATTTGACAGTATATTTTTAATTCTATTATAAAATAGATTAAGTTAGCACTATGGTAAAATTAAATGGGTAATTATGGTTACCAACTCCATTGGAAATTTGAATTGAGATTATGACCATATCTTGAGGGAAAGAATTTTTTGGGGGAAAAAAGGGGGGGGGGATAAAAAGAAATTGTGGGGGGTCAATTTTTTCTCATTTCAGATTTCAGAAATTAAAAAGAATTATTCTTCAAATATTATTTTTTTTTCAAATTTCAAATATTGAAAAATTTCAAGAAGTAATCTTTAATTGCACAGTATGGCGCATTAGATTTGTAAAATCTTTGATCACATTTATTTATTTGTTATGCCGAATCTAACAGTGTATTTAAATTTTTAATTTTGGGTCCAGTTTTCAAATTGGTCTACATTAAGGTCCAAAGGGTCCAAAATTAAACTTAGTTTGATTTTAGCAAAAAATGAATATATGAGGTTCTTTGATATGCTGAATCTAAACATGTATTTAGATTTTTGATTTTTTGGCCCAGTTTTCAAGTTGGTCCAAATTGGGGTCCAAAATTAAACTTTGTTTGATTTCAACAAAAATTGAATATGTGGGGTTCTTTGATATGCTGAATCTAACCATGTATTTGGATTTTTTATTTGTGGACCCCGTTATCAAATTGGTTCATATTGAGGTCAAAAGGGTCCAAAATTAAACTTTGTTTGATTTCATCTAAAATTGAAGTATTGGGGTTCTTTGATATTCCAAATCTAACCGTGTATTTAGATTTTTAATTTTTGGTCCTGTTTTTTAAATTTGTCTACATTAAGGTCCAAAGGGTCCAAAATTAAACTTAGTTTGATTTTAACAAGAATTGAATTCTTGGGGTTCTTTGATATGCTGAATCTAAACATGTGTTTAGATTTTTGATTATGGGCCCAGTTTTCAAGTTGGTCCAAATTGGGGTTCAAAATTAAACTTTGTTTGATTTCAACAAAAATTTAATATATGAGGTTCCTTGATATGCTGAATCTAACCATGTATTTAGATTTTTGATTATGGGCCCAGTTTTCAAGTTGGTCCAAATTGGGGTCCAAAATTAAACTTTGTTTGATTTCAACAAAAATTGAATATATGAGGTTCTTTGATATGCTGAATCTAACCATGTATTTAGATTTTTTATTTGATGGCCCCGCTATCAAATTGGTTCATATTGAGGTCAAAAGGGTCAAAAATTAAACTTTTGTTTGATTTCATCAAAAATTGAATTATTGGGGTTCTTTGATATGCCAAATCTAACCGTGTTTTTAGATTTTTAATTTGGGTCCCGTTTTTTAAATTGGTCTTCATTGAGGTCCAAAGGGTCCAAAATTAAACTTAGTTTGATTTTAACAAAAATTGAATTCTTGGGGTTCTTTGATATGCTTAATCTAAACATGTGTTTAGATTTTTGATTATGGGCCCAGTTTTCAAGTTGGTCCAAGTTGGGGTCCAAAATTAAACTTTGTTTTGATTTCAACAAAAATTGAATATATGGGGTTCTTTGATATGCTGAATATAACCATGAATTTAGATTTTTTATTTGTGGGCCCCGCTATCAAATTGGTTCATATTGAGGTCAAAAGGGTCCAAAATTAAACTTTGTTTGATTTTTCATCAAAAATTGAATTATTGGGGTTCTTTGATATTCCAAGTCTAACCGTGTATTTAGATTTTTAATTTCAAGTCCCGTTTTTAAATTGGTCTACATTAAGGTCCAAAGGGTCCAAAATTAAACTTAGTTTGATTTTAACAAAAATTGAATTCTTGGGGTTCTTTGATATGCTTAATCTAAACATGTGTTTAGATTTTTGATTATGGGCCCAGTTTTCAAGTTGGTCCAAGTTGGGGTCCAAAATTAAACTTTGTTTTGATTTCAACAAAAATTGAATATATGGGGTTCTTTGATATGCTGAATATAACCATGAATTTAGATTTTTTATTTGTGGGCCCCGCTATCAAATTGGTTCATATTGAGGTCAAAAGGGTCCAAAATTAAACTTTGTTTGATTTCATCAAAAATTGAATTATTGGGGTTCTTTGATATTCCAAGTCTAACCGTGTATTTAGATTTTTAATTTCAAGTCCCGTTTTTAAATTGGTCTACATTAAGGTCCAAAGGGTCCAAAATTAAACTTAGTTTGATTTTAGCAAAAATTGAATTCTTGGGGTTCTTTGATATGCTGAATCTAAACATGTGTTTAGATTTTTGATTATGGGCCCAGTTTTCAAGTTTGTCCAAGTTGGGGTCCAAAATTAAACTTTGTTTGATTTTAACAAAAATTGAATATATGGGGTTCTTTGATATGCTGAATCTAACCATGTATTTTGATTTTGGACATTGGACCATAATAGGTAAATTAAAAAAATTCAAGTTCTTAGACCACATTCTTTCTGTGTCAGAAACCTATGCTGTGTCAAATATTTAATAACAATCCAAATTCAGAGCTGTATCAAGCTTGAATGTTGTGTCCATACTTGCCCCAACTGTTCAGGGTTCGACCTCTGCAGTCGTATCAAGCTGTGCCCCAGCGAAGCATTTTATTTAACCTTCAGCACACTAACTTACAGGCCTGCCTGGTGTGCTCTTGAAATAAAAATATTTTAGAAAAGGATAATTGACCTTTATGTCATGTGTTTCATGTAATATGTAAGCAAATCACAGAAAAAATTGTCATTTGATGGAAAGTTCATCTGTATTTGAAGATCAAAAGAAACATCAAAATCACTTAAATACTCATGTAGGTAATTACTGAAATGATCAAATTACCGGTAATTAAGTGATAATAAAATCACTTATTTAAGTCATACCCCTGACTGTTGACAGTTTTCTACCAACAATTTTCATAAAGCATGGTAAACAGGCAATTTCTAGCAATTATAGCATCACATTCAAGCCAATACCATTGTGCTGAAAAGCCCTGGGGAGAAAACTGTCATCATTTTAATTGAGTTGTTTTACATTTACAGGGTGGGTCCACAAGTGGATTGTTTACAACTTGTTTTTTTTACATTTACAGGTTGGGTCCACCAGAGGATTGTTTACAACTTGTTTTTTTTTACATTTACAGGGTGGGTCCACCAGAGGATTGTTAACAACTTGGTTTTTTCACATTTACAGAGTGGGTCCACCAGTGGATTGTTAACAACTTGTTTTTTTTTTACATTTACAGGGTGGGTCCACCAGTGGATTGTTACCAACCTGTTTTTTTACATTTACATTGTGGGTCCACCAGTGGATTGTTACCAACCTGTTTTTAGCTCACCTGGCCCGAAGGGCCAAGTGAATTTTTCTTATCACTTGGCGTCCGTTGTCGTTAGCTTTTTACAAAAATCTTCTCCTCTGAAACCACTGGGCCAAATTTAACCAAACTTGGCCACAATCATCATTAGGGTATCTAGTTTAAAAAATGTGTCCGATGACTTCGCCAAACAACCAAGATGGCGGCCATGGCTAAAAATAGAACATAGGGGTAAAATGTAGATTTTGGCTTATATCTCTGAAACCAAAGCATTAAGAGTAAATCTGACAGGGTAAAACTGATTATCAGGTCAAGATCTATCTGCCCTGAAATTTTCAGACAAATCTGACAACCTGTTGTTGGGTTGCTGCCCCTGAATTGGTAATTTTAAGGAAATTTTGCAGTTTTTGGTTATTATCTTGAATATTATTATAGATAGAGATAAACTGTTAACAGCAATAATGTTCAGCAAAGTAAGATCTACAAATAAGTTTTTTTTTTTCTCTTTTATTTGTTTTTCAATAGTCAGGATTTAATATACATGTACCCCTACACTACCACCTGACAAGGGTATCAAGGGGTTACATATAAAAAATAATTCAGTATACAATATATATCACTGACAAGTTGATTTTTATAATTATACCTGTAGTATTTAAGGTTACATATAAATTTTATTTGATTATATTCTCTCGCTCTCTGACTTTCTCTCATAAAATACAAATACTCTTCACTCATTTGCTTTGCTACAATATGTACATGATGTATCTTGACTTACATTTTAAAAACAAAATATTTTAAAGAAAAAAAAAAAAACAAAAAAAAATTCAAGGCTAAATATTTGCTCATGACATATAGATATTTTATTCTCTCACTTATATGAAACAATAATTAATTAAATATTACATGTAAAGGAGACCAAAATTTTTCACACACTTGGACTCTATTATTTTTCTTTGCAATATAATATTCAAGAAATTGGTATTTCTTTATTCTATTCTTTAACCCAACCATATTTGGTTTTGTTTCATTTAATTTACATTTGTATATATAGTTTTTTGTAATTATGACTAACAGATTCAGTAATAAACTTTCATGTTTGCAACCAAGAAACACATTCTCTTTGTTAAGAACAAAGTTTACAAAAAAAAGTTTTACTGCATTTGAAAAAGACTGCCACAATTGAAAAGTTATTGGGCATTCAAAAAAAAGGTGTTCAATGGTTTCTTCAGCAAGTTTACAAAAAATACACATCTTGGTGTCTTTTAATTTAATTTTGTATAAAAAGGTATTAGTTGCTATGATTCTATGCAAAAATTTGTATTGAAAAGTTCTTAAATAAACATCTCTACATGATTTTTTGGTTATCCTGAAATATTCTGACCATTCTGTTGTATCAATAATCAACAGTTCTTCCCATTTCAGAAACTTGACTGTTGGTAGTTCAATAACTTTATTTACTAATTTTTTATATACAAATTTGGCTTTCACATTACCTATAATTCTCTTTAAAAAAATATCACCATTATCAGGCTTATCCAAATCTACAAATAAGTTGGCATGACCAAAATTGTCAGTCAACCCTTTAGGAGTTATTGCCCTTTATAGTCAATTTTTAACAATTTTTCGTAAATTTTTGTAATCTTTTACAAAAATCTTCTTCTCTGAAACTACTGAGACAAATTTAACCATACTTGGCCATAATCATTATTAGGGTGTCTTGTTTAAAAAATTTGTCTGATGACCCTGCCTTCAAACCATCATGGCTGACTTGGTTAAAAATAGAACATAGGGGTAAAATGCAGTTTTTGGTTTATATCTCTGAAACTAAAGCATTTAGAGCAAATCTGACAAGTGGCAAAAATGTTCATCAGATTTAGATTTATCTGCCCTGAAATTTTCAGACGAATCCGACAACCTGTTGTTGGGTTGCTGCCCCTGAGTTAGTAATTTTACAGAAATTTTACAGTTTTTTGTTATTATCTTAGATATCATTATAATATCTAATATCTAATACTATTAAGATTTCCAAAGCATCAGTAAATACAGGTGAGCGACACAGGCTCTTGAGAGCCTCTAGTTTTACATTTACAGTGTGGGTCCACCAGTGGATTGTTTTAAATAAAACAACTTGGTGTGTTTACATTTACAGGGTGGGTTCCCCAGAGGATTGTTAATAACAACTTAGTTTTTTTTACATTTACATTGTGGGTCCACCAGTGGATTGTTAACAACTTGTTTTTTTTTACATTTACAGGGTGGTTCCACCAGTGGATTGTTAACAACTTTTGGACAAGATCAGATGTACTTATTGGGAAAAAGACTTAGAAAAGAATACATTGAGAATATTAAATTTTTAGATTCTTTTGATCCAAACTTGGTAAAGTATGTTACTTTTTATTTTATTTTTTATAGAGATTAATATATGTGTACATGTATTTCAGGGTTGTAATTTCAAGGGGTACCTCTGATTTGTGAATGCCATACTTTTATTTTGAAAAAAAAGGCTTTTTCAATATCATGACTATACCATAACATACAAGATTTATCATAAACAAGAAATTATTGTGAAAAAGAACAAATATAATATGTAGTAACAAATTTAAACTGCCTTTAATTGATTTATGACTACTGAACAGCGGTATACACCTAATGCCTTTATTTGTGCAGAAAAGGAGCCTTTGAATTATTCTACAATATGGTCCACAAGTAATAATTTCTAAAAGCTGACAAACTTGTCTACAAATAATGATTTTAATAAAGCCTTTTCTGAAAATTAAAGTCAGGTTTAAATTTGACAAAACATTTTTGATATTGAGGCTGTGATAAGTTACCATTATTTTCTATACAACTTACAAATGTTAGAATTTTCAATAAAGTATGATGTAATTTGAAAAAAAAACTCAATCTGATACAAATTACTGTAAATTCAGAAATTAATGCAAGGTTTTTATTAAATGTGAATAATGCGACTCCATAAGTATCACATTAATAAGAACTCACATTCTGATATATGATACATATATATGTAGGAAGCTTTTCCTAAAATCGCAATTATTAAACTCACATTTTTTTTTTTATTTTTCAAAAATTGCAATAATGAACATGAAATAACTTCTGAATTTACAGTATTCTGTTTCCTGGAAGATATCTGGTTCACTGCAATGAAGAATGAAGAGATTTATCTTATTGATTTTCATATAAGATATATTCTGTTTAAAAAATTTCTAAACTATTTTGATTTTTCATATGTTTATATTTATTCTACGTTTATCTTTTACCACATTTGGTTATAAAAAAATAATGATATCAGATGCTCAGACAAATTACTACTACCCATTATTTGTACATAGGCAGTTAGGCAGCTAACTAAACTATTCTAGAAACATTAAAAAAGAAAGGTTGTTTATTCACCTTTATCTTTATACAGATTGAAAACAACTCATATGAAAAGAACAAAAGAATCACTACGATGTGTTCTGGCAGGATTTTTTGGTGCAGAAAATCTCAATAAGAATGGTAAGTTTTTGGAAAATGACGCTATCAGCGGCATGTTTCCGATACCATTGACCAGAACTAACGGAAGTCGATTATTGCCTCCGCCTACCGCACTCGGTTTCATATTTACTATTTTACATACTAGCAGGAATCTGCTTGTATTCCGCTACACTCGAACAAAGTGTTGTAGTCGGACGGAAACCAGTTTACATACTTTATTTTATTTACCAAAAAGATATCTTGACCTGTCCATATTTTTTTTGTTATTAAATGGTATTTGGAGCTATCCCTTTGTTATATTTTTCATATTTATTCGAGCTTTCACTTTTATGCACATGTCTTACAACCGTAAACAATCGGTATGTGTACATGATAAATAGATCCGTTTTGTTATGGTGTTGGACTTTTTACCCTCCAATGATCAGCAAACGCTAGACAAAATAGTTCTCCTAAATAATGTCAGCCTTTCATGCCATTTCAACTTTACAATCATTAAAAAAAGTGAAAATCGGAATCATTTTGATATCCATTGGATAGAAACTGGTCTTTATCCAGATTTACGAAGATTTTAAAAATCGGAAATTAGTAATACGGTTATACCCACGCGGTGCGTATGAATCTTTGTTTACAAAACAGGATTTCGGAACGTCTCTAGTTTTTAGATCGTAAGTCACGATAAACTCAAACTGAAAGTAAACAGTTGTTTGTAAGACGCATGTTGACTCACCATAAACAAGCTGAAACGTTCAGTATGGCATATATTTTAGGTTAAAGACGGTCCCATTCATTTAAAAAGCATTTTGAAAGTAGACGATGGGATTATTTCAGGTTTGGGGAACGAGTAAATTATCACAATTTAGACACAAAGTTCATTTCTTGACGACCTCATAATTTCATCATGTCATTGGTACAAATCGATATTTACTGTTTACTGTCGCTTCTCATGTTTTGTATTTAAACGGTCGTTTATTTTTAAACCCGAACCAGGCATATGCATTCTGTAATTGTGCAAATCTTCGTTCTTTGGTCAATTGGCTTATGGATAGTTGTATCAATTTCAACTCTTACATTATTTTTTTTAAAAATATATTTGCATTACACATGCAATGGCAGTACCTTTCCAATTACTATTTATGTGTTGTGTCTAAATTAAAGTTGTAACACTTTATAGTGACTGGAAAGGGTAGAAAAATTCATCAGATGAGAAAAGGCTGAAGATACTTCAAACGGCACCGAATCATTAGATATTGCATCTTATAAAAAGAAACTGAGATTTGGATAGTTCCACTTCAAGGTAAAAATGTTTATCTCTTGTGAAATGAAATAAAAAAATATTGTAACACTGCAGTTAATTAATAAAGATACTATTACGTGTATTTCTGTATTGGCCTTATTATTGGTTCTCGGCCAGCAGTCAAACGGCACGGAATCATTAGATATTGCATCTTTTAAAAGGAAACTGACATTTGGATAGTTCCACTTCAAGGTAAAAATGTTTATCTCTTGTGAAATGAAATAAAAAAAAATATTGTAACACTGTAGTTAATTAATAAAGATACTATTACGTGTATTTCTGTATTGGCCTTATTATTGGTCCTCGGCCAGCAGTATTGGGCTGGCCTTCCGCTTCGCCTCAGACCAAAACACCCAAGACATGGACCAATAACAAGGCCAATACAGAAATACTTACGCAATAATATTATAGAATGACAGTATGGTTCAATAGCGGGAATCAGCCCCTCAACTACTTTTTACATAAATATTAACTTCTGGCTTCAACGCTTTGTTCGTCTTGTCTGGAGATCTTGCTGTAGTTCCAGTTCAGCAAGCATTTTAGAGACGTATCCCGTCCATCCTCTTTTGACTTGTAATCTCTGGTGATAAATTTTGCCGCTTGACATTGTATCCTTTTAAGCTTGTTTTTTTTTGTTACCGTGTAGGGGTCCCATACTATGGCTCCATATTAAATTATAAGATCCATTACTAAAGATCTAGATCATTGTTCTAATCTGACACAAATTTCAATAACTGGAATGCTACCCAAGTTGAATATATGGTGACCCACGAGAACAGCATTATCACTATTGAAATTGTGTTTAATACAATGATTGTTCAATGTCATTAACTTAAATGGAGACAGACATTTGACCTGAAAGACATGAAAGGTGGAGTGGGAGTGCAAAATTAAATACTAACTGACTATGATATATGGTTAAAGAATGAATATCAATTACATGAGTCAACATGGTCAAGGGCAGAGTTGTTATAAAATAACAATATGGCAGAGAAGTGGTTTCAAGTTTCATATAAAGCGACCTGACTGACATGAAATAAAAAATCGAAGGAGTATCCCTATTTGTCTAATCTTCAAGGTGAAATAAAACTAGTAAAACAATATTATACTATTGTCTAAATATACAGAAATATAATTTGCTTCAAGTAACAGAAATAACTAGGTCACTAGTAACTTATTTAATGAGTATGTGGGGTATAAGAGCTTGCTAACAACAGGCTCTTCATAATCATTTGGTTTGAAAAGGATACTAGTAGTCTATATTCTTGATTTAGAAAAATGTAATTGCAAGAACAAAATCACATTACTTAGAATACTTTAGATCATTCAGGCAGTCTTTATTTATATGTACAAAAGAACAGCCAGTAGTCATTGGATATTGTAGATCATTCAAATAGTCTTGACCTTTTTATTAGTACAAAAGAACAGCCAGTAGTCATTGGATATTGTAGATCATTCCGGTAGTCTTGACCTATTTATTTATACAAAAAAAAAACAGCCAGTAGTAATTGGATACTGTAGATCATTCAGATAGTCTTGACCTATTCATTTGTACTGAAAAAAACAGACACATATACGAATATCAATTATATGCTTACGAGACATGTTGCAATGTTAAACTTATTACGGTACATGTATGTGAAAATCAAGACTTGCATAAAAAATATCACAATATTAGAGACAGTGGCGTCATTTTTCCTCAGAGCTTTCAGCTCTTTGATTTCTTATATCTGGATGAAACTTTTTTATGCATTTATACTTATTTGTATGGTATAAATGACAAAACGGGATTAAATTAAGGTTGCATCTAAGGTAATGAACTATTTTAATGAAAGCCATTACAAAATAAGTAAGTCTTGTGGAAAATACCCAGAATAATTTGTATGTCATTGTATCAAGGTTTACACCCATATGTAATCCTTGATTAATACACACGTATGAATTGAAAAAATGGGGTATATATCTTTGGGGAAGAGACCTTAAAATGCAATGTATCTAGAAAAGCTGTCTAGATGTTGTTACAATGTATGCCCCTAGATATGTTTTCTGGGGATGACTACCTTTTTATCTCGTGTATCTTTTGCAGTCAAACTCTGCCCTTGACATTCATCCTATGTACCTTGATTTAATCCTTTGTCCCTTCGTCAATTTCCCCATTTGTCTTGTATTCTTTAATAGGTCAAAACAAATATAGTTGTTTTCTGACTCCTTTCCTACCATAAACTCATGACTACCCTAACACATTTATGGACATTTTTTGTTCAGCACTGTTAAAAGTCCTTATGGTTTTTGTTCAGCTCTTTTAAAAGTTCAGAACATTTCCCTACATAGTCTATGTAAAATATTTTTACAAAAAATATTCAAGCAAATTTGATCAGCAATACAAGATCTACTAAAATGCCTACATGACTGAGACCATTAGATGACCCCATAGAAGTCATTGGCCCTACATAAATAAGAATTTTAGACTGTTTTTATTGTTTTTGTCTAGCTACTATATCAAAAACTGTAATAGATAGGTGGAAACTATACTAGCACAATTAATCAGAAATACAAGATCTACCGAAATGCCAATACAACCAAGACAATTGAATGACCCCTTAAAGAGTTTAGCTTTAAATGACTTTTAACTAATTTTTATATCGGTCATATACTTTTTTAAAGATCTACTGTGAATCTACTCAGCCAATTTCAACCAAAGTTGAGGTGAATGATCCTTTATATGATATCTTTGATAAAGTTTGTGTTTTTTTCCCCTGTCAGATATATCGCGATAAAATGCATTTAATTGTCTTAATATATATCTTGAAAACTTTTATAGATAGAGGAAATCTGACAGGGACAGAAATGCTCAAAATTTCAAGATCTACCATGCATGTCTACCTATCTCGAGGTTGCACAAAACTGATTTTTGACGAATGTTTGTCTTTTTTTTTTGCCAAATTTCTTTAGAAAGTTCTACATTTGTATAGATTAAAACTTTAGGCAGCATAAATGATCTGCAATATAGGATCTAAAAAATCATCATAAAATAACTGATATTTAAAGCTAAAAATTGATTTGTATGTCAAAAAGGCATATCTTTACCAAGTGAGAGATTGATGCTCTTAGAAGCCACTTGCTGTAGGTTGTGATAAATTTGGAAAATGAATGCATAAATTGAATTCTTAATTTACAACACACAATTTAAATATTAATGTTAAAATTTTAGAGTATTTAAGCAGTAGTTGTATGTTGTAAAATGGAATATAAGTATTGACTTTTCAAAAATTTGTAATACAGTACATTGTGTATAAGCCAGGACCTCAACTTTTCTGCTATTTATTTTTAGGTCCAGTAAAAGTTGAAAGTAATGACACCACAGATGAATATCTTGTACCTTCTCCAAATATTTGTCCTGTCTTTAGACAGATAAATCATTCTGCCATGATCCATGGATCTGATATACCAGAGTTCAAGGAGGATAGAGCACTGTTAGAGGAGACATTAGGTAAACACATTGTGCTATCAATTCAGGGACCACTACAAACCAACAGTTATCCAACTGGCAGTAAAATCTATGCTAAAAAGCCTACAGAACAATTTATGAGGGGTCCATAGGTGGCCTGTTGCAAGGCCTAAGTTCTGCCCCTTTCCATCTGACCCTTTTTTCAGTGGTTATCCTTATTTCCTACTCTTTGTCCAGATCAGCTTACTTTGCAGAACCTACTTGTTGTATTCTTTGTTATATTAAAATAAGAAGATGTGGTATGATTGCTAATGAGACAAAAATCCACAAGAGATCAAATGACATAGAAGCTAACAACTATAGGTCACTGTATGGCCCACAGCAATAAGCAAAACTCATACTGCATAGTCAGCCATAAAACGCCCCGAAATGATAAATGTAAAACAATTCAAACGAGAAAACTAACTGCCTGGTTTATGTACAAAATAATGAACGAAAAACAAATATAATATACAGCAAAAACAACAACCACTGAATTGCAGACTCCTGACTTGGGACAGGCACATACAGAATGTGGTGGGGTTAAACTAGTTTGGAGGTGCCAACCCTCCCCTAACCTGGGTCAGTGGTGTAACAGTACAACATAAGAACAATCTATAGAAATCAGTTAAAAAGGGCTTAACTCATCAGATCGATACAAAGCAGTTAGACATATAACAAAAACGCAGACGGGACGTGGCAGGGTATTTATACATCCCTACAACAACAAAAAAAAGACACTTAGTAAAGATCTGAGAATACTTGCAGTTACTGACAGCTAGTTCAAAGCCAGTAACAACTAATAAAAATCATTGCATCTAAGATTACTTCGTTCTTGTCATGAATATACATGAAACATTTGCCACTGGACATTGGAGGAAATAACAATCAATCAATAAATCAAAATTAACCAAATCATACAATAAATCTCCTTTTTTCTCTTTAAAAAATTCATATGGTCATTTGGTTGCCTAGGGAGTTCATTCTAATTATCAGAATTAATAAATATCCAGATAACTGCTGATATAGTTTTGAACTTATGTCACATCAATAAATGCGTTTATTCACTGTATTTTCTGTTAATTTGCAGGAAAAAAACATTTTTCGAAGAAAGCAGTGCAGTTCATAGATTGTAGGGATGATCTTATAGCAAGAAAGGTAAAGTTACACTTTAGTCAGAGCACCAAATAAGAATTGAAGAGTTTCATGCATATTTTAACTCACCATAAGATTTGATGTATTTGGTATTTTTCTTACCCCATCATTGCTAAGCTGGAGGATATATTAATCATTGTGTTTATGTTCTTTATTCATTTCTTCCACATTTAGTATTGGAAATGCCTCCGAATCAGTTGGTTGTAAAAGAGAGGCGAAAGATACCAAAGAGATATTCAAACTCATAAGTCGAAAACAAACAAACAATGTCATGGCAATAAACGAAAATACAACTAAAAGACAAACTACAGTCCACAAAACACAACATAGAAAACCAAAGACTGAGCAACGAAAACACCACCTAAAAACATGGGTGATCTCAGGTGCAACTGAAGGGTAAACAGATCCTGCTCTACATGTGACACCTGTTGTGTTGCTTATGTAAGTACAAAAAGGTTTTAATTTAACATTCAAAGATTCTTTATTATATAAAGTTTTTTTTGTGTATCCTGTTTTATTATCTTATCAGATCTATTTTAGGGTATCCCATAGCATTACATGGACAATACCATATGATGAAGACTCAGGTAACGGTCAAATTGACTCCTATGGTATCTAAATTTTGATCTCATACAATTGTAAAAAATAAATTGTGAAATTAATATATACATGCAAGAGAATATTAAATTGGTTGAATTGCAAATTCTCAAAGCTCCAAATTGTTTTTTATACAACCGTGACAAGAACCCAAAAGAAGCAATAATGGAGCTTACTTATACTTTTTCCCAGCAAATTAGAATTCATTACCAAGAACTTGTTTATTGATGAAATTTAAGATTGATTAAAAAAGAAAAAAAAATCTGTAACAAGATACCATAAGATACCAAATTTAGTTGACTTCAAAAATTAAAAGAATAAATCAAAATTAAAAAAAAATCCAAATTGAAATTTGACAAATGTTATATTTTAATTAAAGTAGAGTAAATGTTGTAACCAGTTTACGATATAAACCAATAGCATAGCTTTGTTTCTAAATAACAATGCACTAATACTAACATTGAATTGGGATATTCCAAAGTGTTTTTGGTTGTGTCCCAAAGCTTTAGTAGGTTAACAATGCAACTCACAGATCTAGAGACATGGGGGTTGGGGGAGGAAGGGTCGTCACCATAGCATAATCAGGGATGGTTAAACGAAAGAAAACACACTACAAAAAATTCCCCACAAAATCGGGTTGTACACAAGTGTAAGATTTGTTTGTTTTTATTAAAGGTTTACCCTTGTACGTCCATACCTCCACATACACAAAGCTTATTACCACACAACACAGATCAAGTTCGAATTTGGGTGGTGTCACTTTTATCGTTCTTGAGTTATGCTCCTTTATAAATGGAAAATTCCTGAATTTATCATTTCCTTTCTCTAACTTTAGTTTGCCTCAACCAAATGTTATGAAACTTATACACAATGCTTATTACCATAAAACACAGATCAAGTTCGAATTTGGGTGGCCTCACTTTTATAGTTATCTAGTTATGTCCCTTTATAATGTTATATGCAAGCGGGGCATCATATGTATCACATGGACACATTCTCCAGTTATTTTTTATTGTCTATATCCACTTTCAACAGTATTTCATTTATATCATAGAGACCTTTTTAATTGGTGGAGGTTGTACATGGAGAGAACAGGCATTCCTAGGTAGGCAACTTTATTACACGAGGGTGTATCAATTGCATGTTTTCACCAGTGCAAGAAAGTCCTACCCTATTTGGACAACTATAAACAAGTACCACTTCTTTCCAGCTGTAAACCAAGTTAAAAGCATAAATAGCATTTGTTCGCCAACTAGAACCTTATTATCTGTAATGTCTATGCTGTCTTGTGGTCTTTCAAAATTAAGATAAAAGCAAATGAAACTGTCGGTTTAAAAATGTACATGTTGTACCTCTAGATCAGCATGATGAAGTTGATTTTATAGTGCTAGCTCACAGCGCTAAGAGCCCAACTTGAATAGAACAAATTATCCTGACGCCTGTCTTGGCAAGTCTTTGCTGTATCTCCATTAAATGGTGCCTATTTTGTGAAAAAGCAGTAACTACCTATTACAAAGTCTTTTGTTTGTCTATCATGGTGGGAACTAGATGAGATACAATAACTTGGAAAGGGCATTATGAAAAACATCCATTTATCTTATTCCACAGGAAGAAATTTTGCAATAAAATCAAGATCTGCAAATTTGTTCTAGGGTTTTTTATTACATGTATGTTATTACCATTGTCAAACGGAATCATATAATGAATGCATTTCATTTGGTTAACTTTCATGACTTTAATAAAGTTTAACATTAAATTTTAAACAAATAAAAAACCAGCCGAGCCTTTAACACAAAACAGCTGTAGAGCCTCCAGGCATTTAATGATTTTTCCTCCTTGAAGTAGCATATCCAAAAAAGATCTTTTTGTGTCTCTGTAATCTGAAAAAAGTCTAGAAATCTTTAAGTTAAAAAAAAAAGTTTGTATATATAATCTCAACATAGAATATAATGTTTATTAGATTTAGCTATACGCCAAAACTTTTGAAATTTTGTTTGTTTATATAATTTTCAGCCGTTCAAATTTTTGATCAATTTATGTAAATCAATGTCAAAATTTGTTTTTTGGTTTAATTCCTCAGACTAAACGAAAAAGTCAATAAATACAAATGCCAGTTTGAGTATGCATAAATTTAAATTCAGTTGACAGATTCAACAATGTTCACATAATTGAGACAATTGTTGTGAGACATTTTTTATTTTCTCTCGATGGACTGATCCAATTTTATTCTTAAAAAATCATAAACCAACTAATTTAAGCGACCACCCAAAGACCATTCCTACCAAATCTTGTTCAAATTGACCTTGTGGTTTCTGAGTAGATTAAAATGTGAATAGTTTACAGACAACAGATGCAAAGTGACGACAATTTATAGCTCACATGTCCTTTTGGGTCAAATGAGATAAAAATCAAATATTTGGCTAGGGGACCCCAAAAACTGATAAGAGAATGATGTCACAAATGCAATTAATGATAGACGAGACAATATACAGTAACTTTGAAACTTGTTCTGCTTTTTAGTTGTTGATTATAATACAATTCAGAATAAAAGCTACAAAACTACTGAAATATATACAAATTTGACATGAAATCCATCTTTGAAAGGGTAAAGAGTATCTTGATAAAAATTATCCTGATAAAAATTTCTGCAGCTTCAACAGGTAACAAGACATAGTAACAGATAAGATGGACTCTCGACAAAGTAGTAACTGTTTCGCTTGCTGTATACACAACGAAATTTAAAATTGGTTTCCTGAAGCAAAGGCCCATATAATATTGATGATTGCCATTAAAAATTTATATTTTTTTTTATATTTTATTTATATTTTAAGAAGCTTCAACTTTAAAATATGACAGGATACAATAAACATGAAGTCCTGTTCTTTTAAAGGAAATTGGGTTTTAAAAGTACACTTTACACAAAAATAAAAATAAATAACTACTGGAAAATGAAAAGTTTGACATATTTTATCCATATCATTGAAAACATGAACCCTATATGATATTAAAACTCTACCAGAGATACTGAGTCATGGATGCAATATATATATGAACTCTCGACGTGCTATTTATGGAATGTAGCAATCCGTTCAATTACTAAATAGGTGTTCAAAAATATACAACTATATATGCACATGCAAGTCAAAATATTATTCTACATGTTTTCATACATTTATTTGGGGTCAAAATCCAGGACACTTCTATTGATGTGACAAGATGCAATATGCGTAAATTCCTAGAATTATTTTATATATTTGTATTCAAATAGTATGAGGGCATGTAAAATGGCATTGCACGAGTTAAGTCTGTTAGCATATTGCATGCAAACATGATTGGAAGCAATTTGTTTGCATGGTTTCTTAAAAAAATATTCCTCAACAAAATAACGAAAGAAACCACCTATGTTGCTTCAAGTAACGTCATGAAATAAAATATGATATCACTATTAACAGATTCCATTGTAATTGGTTACAATTTTATATCTTCCGTTACATCAAAATAGAAACAAACATTGGAGTATGGACGTATCCAAGTCATTTTTAGTAGAACTTCGTAGGAGCTTTATGCCGTTCATTTTGTTCCAAATTTTAAAAAGATGAAATATATTATCATTGACCTTGTTCGTAATCTCTCCAGCGTTACAGTGCTTCGTAGACGAAAAAAATCTGACAAGTAGTAAAACAAAATCAGCATTTTAATATTCAAAATAAAGAAAATAATAGTCCTTAGTCATTAGCAAATTGATTTAAGACAAGTAACACTTTCTGAAGAATAATAACCTTGAACAAAGGTAACAATTTTCACATATATTTGCAAATGAACATAGTTTTGGCGTGACCTAGGAACCCATGACCTTTACCTGAGTTTTCATCATATCACAACCATGGAAAAAAGAAGTAGGAATTTGTAATCAGATATTGGCAGCTTGGAATATGAAATTTTTAGCTCTGTTCACAGTATTTCTTGTTTAATTCATTAGCTATTTTTTCAGACTCACGGATTGCCATTTCCTGAACACATAACTCCAGAAATTGTAGATATGGTAGATAAAAATGCTACAAAGCTTCTTTTTTATGCAGTATGTGGACAACATGAGTAAGTTCCCATACTTTTTTATGCAGTATGCGGACAACATGAGTAAGTGTCTATGGTATTATTTTGTAGCCATGTAAATGTCACAGTAATCTCACCCAGGCTGTTTTAGTGTCGTGGCACTGCGATGCTATAATTATTTACCATGTTGCTATAATAATTTCAGCAATGCTATAATTATTTTGAAGATGCAATTTTTTAATGTCTCTATACCTAACTGCAAAATCGATCGATGTCCTACTTTTTGGACTTTCATCTAATCGCCGCTTACAATCATTAACATATGTTAAAAGTTGAAATGCTAAATTGCAAAATAATTATGTTTTTCCACAAGTAAACAAGGTCTTCTAAATATAGACTAACTTTTACCGTGGCTTCTGTGGAAGTTTGTTTGCACTGAGACCATGGGGATAGACAATACAACTTTATAAAAAAACATTCCAAGACAAGTATGTCCAACTGGCTGCTTGTTTAAATAGAAATACATTATAGTACAGTTCCAGGCCTCAGACTTAGTAATTTTAAGACCCTGTCAGATCACAATCTGACTTGCATAAAATTGGTTCTATTTATGTTATTGCATAAATAAGGTTTAAGGTCTTTACACAAAAAAGTCTCATTGCATCTTCAAGTTATTTTTGAAATAATGTGGATTCATTTATTTTCATTGGTCCCAATTTTTGCGGATTAAGGAAAACTTACACTTTCGTGGATATAAAAATTTTGTGGTTTTGCCAAAGTTTGCATACGAGCCAATTGAAAATTTCTAATTCTTTGAACATTTAAATTCGTGGTTCGTCTGTACCCAATAAATCCACGAAAATTGGTTTCATCGAAAAATAATAAATCCACAGTAAGTGATATTTTGTTTCTTTAAATTTTTGGTTTAGACTGCTAGCTTACTTTCATTATTTTACTATTATGAAATGTGCAAAAAGTATATCCTTGTAAAATTTGTACAAGATCATTCCAAATATTGATAGTGTAATAAAATGATATGTTTTATTATTTTCAGAGCTGAAAGATTAGTAGCCACACGTTTATCTACAGGAAGATTAATTCAAGTATTTCTTGACAATATCCAAAATGTTGTAAAAGGAGAGAAGTAAGTCCAATTAATTACAGTAGTTATGTATGCTCTGTATAAGCTTCCTCTCTGAAGAGCACCACCATGAAATATGGTGTAAAGCAGGACATTAAATTCATATGAAATGAGTTTCTTGAAATTGTAATGTTAAGGAAATTATTTAATCAGTGCATACTAATATACTAAACTAAGTCCTCTATACACATTTTTTAACAATCAAAACGAATCAATAACATATAATTGACAAAAAATATTTCATTCAGTGAAAACTTTCCCTGGTAATTAACTTCCATGTTTTATTGCTGAAAATTACCGAATGTAACCTTAATAAATCTTTAACTAAGAATCACGGAGCACGTGAAAAATAAGTGAAATGCATGATAGACGAGCAATAGAGAGATGTTTATATATTTTTTTGGTATTTTCCATGCGTTTCTAATTGTTAATTAAACTTTGTCATAACAGTTGTTAAATGCATATGGTTTGGTGTATAATAAAATCTCTCTTTCAGAATCAATTAAAACTACCTAGCTTCAACAGTCAAGGGTCTAACTTAAATAAGTTATTAGAGAAAAATATCATACATGTGTTATTCCGGTTGGTTTCATGAGTTGTCTGCTCTTTATTCCTAAAATGTTCTTAATCTTTAGTAACAAAAGTTTGTTATTTGTTAAAAAAAATCTTTTAATATTTTACTTTTTATTGGGAACTTGGGAATTCTTGAAACTTTGCACAGATATTTAACATGACAGGATAACTCATTTTCCAATTAAATTAAATCATTTTTTATCAACCATGGTAAATCAATGAGACAAGGCTTTTTTAAAAGTGCTGTAAAGTTTAGTATGCATATAGACAATAATAATATCAATAGAACTTGTATACATTTTAACAAAACTAATGATGTATACTGCCCCTTTGAAACATGTAACATACATACATGTATGTTATTCCAGTTTTGGGTTTTTTTAGTCAACAATAACAAGTGTATGTTATTTTTCTCTAATAACTTATTTAAGTTAGACCCTTGACTATTCAAGTTCCTTTTACCTTTTCTCTCAACATGATTTCTCCCCACATACTTGGGCTGTGCAGTTGCTGAAGTCCTATTGAGAGGTCTCGTGGTTAAGGTCACTGCATAGGGAAAAACTATTGGCAAATTAAGAATATGGGTAGACATTAATTCAATAGCAGTACATCTTTAAAAGCATTTGCCTTTAATGTCATCTTGTACATGCCATTTAACTCTATTCTAAACTTGTGTTTAATACTCTATCTTATTTGATTGTATTGTTTTGTGGTTTGCTATCTCATTGAAATTGAACCACATCTCATTTTATTTATACTTACATGAAGTTGAAATTCTGAAGCTTTTGTCGGAATTCTTTGAGATTCTCTACATACAAATTTGTTTGAATTATTGCTCTAAAGCAGATATTTTTACTTTTACCAGAAAATAATACCAAAAAAATTAGATAATGGTGATGCAAAAAGGACTAAGTTGATAAATTTACAGGTTATCAAATATTGATAAATAAGATGTTTCTACAACAGTAAATATGGGGAAACAAATTCTCTGCACAAAAAGTTCTTCATGTACAACAAGTCTCATTATACATATTTCAAAATCTACTGTGGATTAGTTATTGGTCCCCTACGGACGAAGTCGAAATGGACTTTAGGTTTGAACTCTGTCTGTCCATCCGTCAGTCCGACAAATCAGTTTTCCGCACTTTTTTTCTTGGTGCTTGAAGATATTGATTTGTAATTTAGTATATAGAGTCATCATGACAAGTTACAGATCAAGTTCGAATTATGTTCCAGTCTGATGATTTTGTGCAAAGTTATGGTCCTTGGATTTAGAAAATTCACTCAAATATCAGTTTTCCGTACTTTTTTCTTTGTCATGCTTGAAGATATTGATTAAATAATTGGTATATAGTTTTATCATGACATGTTACAGATCAGTTTCAAATTTTTTTCCGGTCTGATGATTTTGTGCAGAGTTATGGTCCTTGGACTTAGAAAATTCACTCATATAATCAGTTTTCCACACTTTTTTTTGTCATGCTTGGAGATATTGACTTGATATTTGTTATATAGTTTACATCATGACAAGTTATAGATCAAGTTAGCATTTTGTTCCAGTACAATGAATTCTTAACCTGTAGGGGACTATGTATTGCCATGCAATACTCTCAGAATGCTTTTTATTTGTGGGATACCAGTTTTTGTTGTTCATTTCATTTGTTCATTGGGTATAGGTCAACAGCGATTTAAATATTCAATTACGTAAAAGTTTCTTTTGGTTTGTTTGCAGATTTTGGGAAAACCATGAAATTACAATTCCCTCAATCTTTGAAAATTGATATCCATGAAAAGAAATGAATCCGCAGTCTCATATTAAGATTTGGCTATGTATTAAATGTACTTTGTCCCTTTTTAGCAATGCCAAAATGCAGATGTACTCAGCACACGACTCTACTGTTCTTCCAGCTTTAAGTGCTCTTGGTCTTGATGTGACAGAGTGGCCTCCCTTTGGAGCTGATTTAATTCTTGAGCTGTATGAAGATAGTGACAAAAATCATTATGTACAAGTTAAATATCTAGGAAAGGTAAAATTGAAATGAACAAGTGTTAAGTAGCTTTAATCTGTTTTTAAAATACTTTAACATGACAGGGTTCAGAATTGATGAAAGCTAGCAAATTGTGAGATAAAATAGTTTTTAATTAATTTACGAGTTTAAGTAGATATGAGAAGATGTGGTATGAGCCAATGAGACAACTCTCCATCCAAGTCACAATTTGTAAAAGTAAACCATTATAGGTCAAAGTACGGCTACATTATTCTAGTTTTTTAATTATATACATGTAAATGTCTAGTTTCTAAGTGGGCTTCTTGTAAACACATTAACATGTAATTGTGTATGCTAGATAGTTAAAGTATTTAGCTCACTGAATATTGAATTAGGGTTCTCACTAAGGTGAGTCCATGAGTCCTGGACTCATGAAAATCTGTCTGGACTGATCATTTTCTAAACTGATGAGTCCAAAGAGGCATCAAGGTATTAAACTGTTGTGTCAACTGACCACATATATTATCGTTTTATAACAAAAAAAACCTAAATTTAATGTCATTTCAATGCTCTATTTTGTCATGAGGACTGAAATAATAAATTATATATATAGCAATAAATTTCATAAACTTAATGGTCATAGATGATGAGTCCTGGGACTTGTCTTCAAAAACCTTAATGAGAACCATGTTGAATAAAAGGAGACTTGGATTATAAGTCAGTGTGACAGCAACACAACAGTAAAATGATTTGTTGAAGCAATATATCAAGATATTATATTTACATTTCTATAAACATGATAAATTCATCCATCAAAATTATAAACTCATTTATTCAGACTGCAAGATAGTAATTGTGCTTACTTGATGATATTATTCAATTGTTTTTTTTTTATTTTATTCAGCCACAAATTGTTAGAGGTTGTGATAAAGAGTTATGTCCCTTAGACAAGTTTTTAGAAGAAATATCACCATTTGCAATAAGCCAGAAGGAGTTCCAGGAAGTTTGTCATTCTAATATCTTGGAAGTAATTGCCAAAGGTAAATGGTTGATTACACCAGGTTTAAAAATACTATTTTAATACATGTATGAGGTGCTTCTTTCCTTTGTAAATAACAAGAAGATAAAATTCTTTATATATCTGTACTTAGCTAAATCATGGAAATTAAAAAAAAATACAGAATTGTTATAATGCATAACAATAATAAAAGAATTAATGCATAAATTTTCAAATTATGTGTACTCTCCAAATTCGAATAATATTGCATTAAAATGGAGTTTGAGGTAGGTGCTGTTTCATTTTCTATTATAATACATTATTCACACATTTATGGATTTCAGCAAGTCAATATGGCTGCTCACTCCTTAGTAACTACATGTCAACTGTGGATTTGATGTTTAGTCTTTATATTTCTTAATTTTATCCCTTGCTAGTGCTTGGGATAAAATAAGAATATAACGGCACAGGCCATGTGAAAATTTCCAACAAATCTAAGGCTCGCATGAATTATTTCTTAATTAAAGTTACCTATGGGCTGATTGCTGAATTGGTGTTGAAATTTCAGCTTTGGCAAAGAGGTTACTTGTAAACACCAGTTTTGTTTATTTTTTTGGGTTTTTTTTCTCAAAAAATATGATTTTACATGATTGATTGTTTGTCATATGTGAGGGTCTGGATTGGGTTTACAGAATAGAGAGTAATGGGCTAAAAATAAAGAATAGAGAACAATGGGGCCCTAAGATATAAATCATATAGAGTTAAAATTAAAGAATACAGGAATGAAGACCCCAATCCAGACCCTCATGTTAAATGTTCTATATCATCTTGTGTCTAAAAAAGGTGTAAATAAATTACATAGAAGCCTGTAATTCAGTAGTTGTCGTTTGTTGCTGTATATCATATTTGTTTTTTGTTTATTGTTTTGTACTTAAATCAGGACGTTAGTTTTCTTGTTTGAATTTGTTTTACATTTGTCATTTGGGCCCTTATATAGCTTACTATGCGGTATGGGTTTTGATCATTGATGAAGACTGTAGAGTGACCTATAGTTGTTAATTTCTACATGATTTGGTCTTTGGTGGAGAGTTGTCTCATTGGCAATCATAACAAGTCTTCACATTTTTTTTAAATAGAGACTATCTAAAATCTGACATCATAAACAAAATGTATGGATCGTTATTAAACATTAATATTATGATAAACTTAAAATTTGAAAAAGATATATTCAGATACCATTCCATAGATGCCAATCGCTAGAATTGTCTGTAATGTTTACCTATTTGGTCCAAAAAATCATATTGTTTCTGTCATATAAATTATTTATGGCATAGCTGTCAACTGACTGGTATTCTGGGGGTTACACCTGAGAATTTCCCCCTTTACACAGGATTTTTTTAAATACACGCCGGGTATTCAAATAACCCGGGATTTCAGAAAATGACCTGTTTTCACCCTTATTTCTGACCGGCATTGTTTCTGGTATCTAGAAGTCAAATATCCTTTAAGTTTTCTCTGCGTTTTTCCTTTGAAAAGGTTAACAATTGAAATTAAAATTTGCTTATTTACCGTGCCAATGACATGTACAGCTATCAAAACATTACATTTGATTGAAAAGTAATAATTCGAGAATTGTTTATTAAATGTACCCCAGAAAGTTGAAGCCAGTCAAGCTTGACATACAATTCTATGCCCTGATTAAAAGATTTGCCGTTTGCAAATATCAAATATCCTGTAAAAATCATTTTAAAACAATTTGAACCTTTTAATACATTTCTGTTTGAGAGAATAATTTTGTTATCACTTAAATGTAAAAGCTTTAAATCAAATCCATATGCTCTAGATATTACACTGAAAGGAAACACTAACTTCTTTCTATTTATCTTCCTCCTGTGTATAGGAGCACATTAGCTATAATTGATTTCTAATTACATGTATAGCTGGGGTTTATGACATTCATTAATGAAAAGAAGTAAACTAGTGTGAATAAAACAATAAAAGGGCATTGCTTAAGAAAGATATTTAATTAATGATAAATGTTTATATACTTAACAAATACAAAAGGGATTATTTTTAGGAAACTCAGTGGTACATGTACATGTATATATATGTTATAGTATATATAAAAAAAAACTCTCAATACTAAAATTAGACCGAAAAAGTTCATACTCGTTATGACCTGACATTTTCTTCTTCAATGCAGGTCATGACCTGCATTTTCAATTTCAGAGGTTGACAGGTATGTTATGGATTTCCGTTAAATTCATTACAGTTTATGATTTGTTCTTGCTTTAGATTTACTTCAGTGTTCTTTCCATGACTTTTTTCTGTTTTTGCTTTAAGTCCTGTTCTAATTTTAGTGCTTGAACCTTGATTATAAATGGGTTCTTTGGATTATTTAAAGTAGTGAAGGAATTATCTAAATCCATTTTTAGCTCACCTGGCCCGAAGGGCCAAGTGAGCTTTTCTCATCACTTGGCGTCCGTCGTACGTCGGCGTTGTCTTCGTCCGTCGTCGTTACCTTTTTACAAAAATCTTCTCCTCTGAAACCAGTGGGCCAAATTTAACCAAACTTGGCCACAATCATTATTAGGGTATCTAGTTTAAAAATTGTGTCCAATGACCCCGCCAACCAACCAAGATGGCCGCCATGGCTAAAAATAGAACATAGGGGTAAAATGTAGATTTTGGCTAATATCTCTGAAACCAAAGCATTTAGAGTAAATCTGATAAGGGGTAAAACTGATTATCAGGTCAAGATCTATCTGCCCTGAAATTTTCAGACAAATTTGACAACCTGTTGTTGGGTTGCTGCCCCTGAATTGGTAATTTTAAGGAAATTTTGCAGTTTTTGGTTATTATCTTGAATATTATTATAGATAGAGATAAACTGTAAACAGCAATAATGTTCAGCAAAGTAAGATCTACAAATAAGTTGCCATGACCAAAATTGTCAGTCGACCCCTTTAGGAGTTATTGCCCTTAATAGTCAATTTTTAACAATTTTTTGTAAATTTTTGTAATCTTTTACAAAAATCTTCTTCTCTGAAACTACTGAGACAAATTTAACCATACTTGGCCATAATCATTATTAGGGTATCTAGTTCAAAAAATGTGTCCGATGACCCTGCCTTCCAACCATCATGGCCGACTTGGTTAAAAATAGAACATAGGGGTAAAATGCAGTTTTTGGTTTATATCTCTTAAACTAAAGCATTTAGAGCAAATCTGACAGGTGGCAAAAATGTTCATCAGATTTAGATTTATCTGCCCTGAAATTTTCAGACGAATCCCGTTGTTGGGTTGCTGCCCCTGAGTTAGTAATTTTACAAAACTTTTGCAGTTTTTTGTTATTATCTTAGATATCATTATAATATCGAATATCTAATACTATTAATTATGATTTTAACCTTATTTTACATGATTTCCAAAGCATCAGTAAATACAGGTGAGCGACACATGCTCTTGAGAGCCTCTAGTTTTTTTCATCATGAGTAGTAAAAAAGTTATTCATTTAACAGACTGCAAATAAAAAAGAATTGTCTTAAATTCAATTTAAGGTAGAATTTTATGGAAACCTGCTGTAACAAAATAAAATACAAATTACTGAAATCTCAAAATATATCTAGGGCTATTCCATAAAAATAGATGTGAGAGGGTAAGAAATTGACTTTCATAATGCCCAAACAGCCAACATACTGCATCATTTAATTTGAGTGTTCATCTTATTTGTGGGATACAAATTTTTGTGGATTTCATTGGTACAACATGTACAAGTGAACCACAAATATAAATATTCAAAGGATTACAAATTTTCTATAGACTTGTATGCAGACTTTGGCAAAACTATGAAATCAAATGTTCACCAATATAAGAATAAGAAGATGCGGTATGATTGCCAATGAGACAACTCTTCACCAGAGAACAAATGATGTAGAAGCTAACAACTATAGGTCACCATATATACAAAGCAAGTTTTCCTCAATCCACGAAAGTAAATGAATCCACAGTACCTCAAATAGACAAACAAAAATGAATGACCCACAAACTTCCTCTCCTAACCCCTACATTGATTTTAATGAAGTAGCCCTTACTGACTATCCCCTACATTAAATTTAATTAAATAGTCCTTACTGACTACCCCCTACATTAATTTTAATGGAATAGCCCTTACTGACTACCCCCTACATTAATTTTAATGGAATAGTCCTTACTGACTACCCCCTACATTAATTTTAATGGAATAGTCCTTACTGACTACCCCCTACATTAATTTTAATGGAATAGTCCTTACTGACTACCCCCTACATTAATTTTAATGGAATAGTCCTTACTGACTACCCCTACATTAATTTTAATGGAATAGTCCTTACTGATTGCAGCAGAAATAAGTCATCATCACTGTGTATTGTTTATTTACAGAAATGTTAGAACAAGAAATAGGAGAAGTAGAAGATGAGGAAAGTAAAGAAAGATCTGACTTTGCCCCAGGTCTTTGATGATGGTGTAACTTTAGGCTTTACTTCAGGACTTTGATGAACAGTGCTTCTTTAGACTTTCCCTCCAGGACTTTAATGAATGGTGTAACTTCAGAGTTTGCTACAGGACATTGATGAAAGATGTTATTTCAGTTTGCCTAATTTGTTTCAAATTATCATGAATGACTCTGAGCTTTATATTTTTCTATGTATTAGTTATAAATTTATAAAATTATTGAGAAATCTAATTGTAGAACAAGGATTTAATCATTTGAAAGGTACAGTTGTAGGTCCATATAAGAAACATGCAACATATTCTAAAATGGTTACAATACTTATTTTTGGCTTCCGATTGTGTGATGTTTTTATATAATGAAATGGATAATTAGTTCCTGCAATTTAAGTGGGTAATCTATATTAAGTCAAGGGTTGTCTACCTTTGTGTGACTATCTACAATGCATTTTTACAAATCATTTTTCTGGTGAATTGACCTGTATGTAAAATCACAAGAAAGTTAGAATTTTCTGTAGTATTTTATGATATAAAACCATTATAATTGTAGGTTCAACAATGAATCTTTTTTCGAATGATTCTTTATACATTGAATGGCACTTAAATTTATACTGGGAACTGAGTAGTATAAATTGCTGACTTATTATTATGACTAACAGTTATTTTTCACTTGATGCATCAGTTATGTTTCCTGATTATTTTTTCTTTATACATAAACAAGCAATTATAATAGCTTAATGAATAAAAATAAAAAACTAATTTTATATCCTATAAACATGTTGGGATAATATTTCTTTATGCAGTCCTTTTGCATTTTTTCTGTCTGTCTGTTTATTCATTATTATTTAGAAATCTTTTATTGTGAAAACTCTGCTGAACAAAATAATGACAATCATTCTTACGATTTTTTAGTTTTGTATATCATATTTGATGTTGCACATTAAACAAACATATTGCTACAGTTGGAAAGTACAATGTATCAAATTTGCAATTTCCACATATTTAACATTGCCAAAATATCAAAGAGGATAACAGCCTCAGTGGTCTCGTAGTAGCATGTTCGCCTTGAGTACGGGAGGTTGTGGGTTCAAACCCCGTCTTTTAAATTGGTATTTGCTGCTTCTCCTCCAATCACCCAGCATTAAGGACTAAGAGCAAAGTCTGGTCGGCTCAGAGTTAGAATAATGTGTTGGGGTAGAGTGAAATGTCTTTCTGCTGACTGTTACCTTATGAACTCACACATTAAAAATCTGGCTCAGTGTTTCGGTCTAGTACAAAGCAGGGTTAATATTCATATTAAATTATCCTGTACTCGTCCTGAATATATTTAACTTGTGGTTGGACATTAAACAGCCATCCATTCATCCATCAAATAGTGGAAATTGTTTTTCTGAATGAAAAAATCTGGTTATTATTCTTGGGGCAGTCCTAGCTGTTTCCATGCAAAAACTTGAAAACTATTCAACCAACTGTTTTCACAATTCAAATATGTTTTTAATGATGACAAGCCAGAGGTCATGAACAATATTGATGATTTTCAATTTTGCCCTTCTGGAGTAAGTGACACTGTTAATATAAGAAAAACCCTGGTTTGCTATCATTTTGACAACTTCTCGTTGGTTATGGGGTGAGAACCCTATGTAAATACTGTAAACCAACTTATTTTCGCAGGCGATTTATTTTCGCGACTTTTGCCGAGTAGAAAAAAGCGCGAATATAAATCGTCGAGAATATGAAAAACTTGGATTTTTTCATATTTAACTACATCAATTAAAATTGAGAATCGCGAAATGGGCTTGAAAGGGCTAATTGCGAAATAAAGTATCCGCGAAAATAAGTTGGTTTACAGTATTCCAAGTGGACCTATCAATAGTTTTTTTTTTTTAAATGGGAATTTTTATTTGTTATATAACAGAACCATTTCTATATAAATTTGTCACTATATTTTAACATATTTTTTTTATTAAGTAATTTAAGCAGAACATATGGGTTTAATATTATCATTGGAATTGTGTAATTTGGTGCAATAAAATTGGTACTGTTAATGTTATTGACAATAAATGTACTATGATTGTAGATTTCTACTTCTGAATGCAGTTATATTTATATCATACAGTTTGTGCTTGCGTACTCTACCCTTAAGGCTGTTTAGAAATTTATCAGGTGTGGGGATGGAAGGTATTCAAATTAACTAAATACATGTATGGGGGGTCACATTTTCCTAGATTTTTTTAAGAATTATAAGTAAAATGAAAAGTTTTGTTTTTTGGGTGGTTGGGGTCCTAAAAAAATGCCTCCCATGCCCTCAATGCAATTAATTTTGGAACAGCCCATTTGTTAATTCCCAATAGCTCACATAAATCCACAATAACCCAAGTGTAGTATAATGTATTTATAATGTCTTTTTAAATTTTGTCAATTAACAAACAACATTTTTGTATGAATGAACTTTTTTTATTTATAAAACTTTTAGTTTTAACAAGCAATCGAAAATTCTTTTGCATAGGTAAATACTTTTCTCTCAAGTTGAAAAGAGGGTGAATGATAATGTTATTCAATATCACATTGTGTAATGTTATATTCTGTGAAACAGGTCTAAGATTAGCCCTGTGATTACCCAAAACCTGTGAAAACTCGAATTCATGTATTTAGACATGCACTTATTATTGTGGAGGCCAATCAAACCTTTCTCCCCAGAATCAGTAGGAGTGTTTGAAAAGTGTACTTTCCCATTGCATAAATACAATAGCTATTGTTCTCTGTTGAGTTCATTCAATGGGAACTTTAAATTTAACCTTCAAAAAAACAATCATTCATTGATTAATTTTGCTGAACAAAAAAATAAAGTCTTTTGCAAAAATTTAAATGAACATGTTAACTCCAACTGATTTTTGGAGAAATGTTTGAAATGTTGAAAAAAAATAAAGGGAAAAGGGGTTGAGATTTTCAAAAAAATAGTTTATCCCGGTCAAATATTTATTTGCCTGTGTCATGTCAGGAACCACATTTGTTATTGTTTTGTTCCATTTTTAGCTCACCTGGCCCAAATGGCCAAGTGAGCTTTTCTCATCACTTGGCGTCCGTCGTCGTTAACTTTTACAAAAATCTTCTCCTCTGAAACTACTTGGCCAATTAAACCAAACTTGGCCACAATCATCATTGGGGTATCTAGTTTAAAAAATGTGTCCGGTGACCTGGCCAACCAAACAAGATGGCCGCCATGGCTAAAAATAGAACATAGGGGTAAAATGTAGATTTTGGCTTATATCTCTGAAACCAAAGCATTTAGAGCAAATCTGACATGGGGTAAAATTGTTTATCAGGTCAAGATCTATTTGCCCTGAAATTTTCAGATGAATCTGACAACCTGTTGTTGGGTTGCTGCCCCTGGATTGGAAATTTTGCCGTTTTTGGTTATTATCTTGAATATTATTATAGATAGAGATAAACTGTAAACAGCAATAATGTTCAGCAAAGTAAGATCTACAAGTAAGTCAACTTGACCAAAATGTCAGTTGACTCCTTAAGGAGTTATTGCCCTTTATAGTCAATTTTTAACCATTTTTCGTAAATGTTTGTAATCTTTTACAAAAATCTTCTCTGAAACTACTAAGACAAATTTAACCAAACTTGTCCACAATCATCATTAGGGTATCTAGTTTAAAAAATGTGTCCGATGACCCCGCCCACGAAACAAGATGGCCGACATGGCTAAAAAATAGTACATAGGGAAAAAGGCAGTTTTTGGCTCATATCTCTGAAACCAAAGCCTTTAGAGCAAATCTGACAGGATAAAATTGTTCATTAGGTCAAGATCCATCTGCCCTGAAATTTTCAGACCAATCAGGCAACACATTGTTGGGTTGCTGCCCCTGAATTGGTAATTTTAAGAAAATTTTGCAGCTTTTGGTTATTATCTTGAATATTATTACAGATAGAGATAAACTGTAAACAGCAATAATGTACAGCAAAATAAGATCTACAAATAAGTCAACATAACCAAAATTATCAATTGACCCCTTATGGAGTTATTGCCCTTTATAGTCAATTTTTTACAATTTTCAAAAATTTATAAGAGGAAAACAACGGAACAACAAAAACATTGAACTGCAACAAAAACAAATGCCAACATACATAGAAACGGACTATTTTGTAAATTTTTGTAAATTTTTACAAAATATTTTCCACTGTAACTACTGGGCCAAGTTCATTATAAATAGAGATAATTGTAAGCAGCAAGAATGTTCAGTAAAGTAAGATCTACAAACACATCACCATCACCAAAACACAATTTTGTCATGAATCCATCTGTGTCCTTTGTTTAATATGCACATCTCTTGATTCTGATTTTTTAAATTTTTTTCTCTGTTTCTACATCAGAAGCAATTGTCATTGAAAACAAATTACCATGTATATACTATAGTGTACATGTCCGTCTGGTTGGGTTGATATATGACCTTGACCTCATTTTCATGGTTCATTGGTCAATGCTAAGTTTTTGTGTTTTGGTTTGTTTCTCGGGTACTATAAGCAATAGGGCCATTATAATGATTGTAAGGGGATGTGGTATTACTGCCAATGATACAACTATCCACCAACACTACTGCATAGTCATCCATTAAGTGGTCATTAAAAAAAGGCAACAGTAGTATACCGTTGTTCAATAGTCATAAATCGATTAAGTGAAAACAAATCCGGGTCACAAACCAAAAACGAGGGAAACGCATCAACTATAAGAGGAAAACAACGGAACAACAAAAACATTGAACTGCAACAAAAACAAATGCCAACATACATAGAAACGGACTATTTTGTAAATTTTTGTAAATTTTTACAAAATATTTTCCACTGTAACTACTGGGCCAAGTTCAATATAAATAGAGATAATTGTAAGCAGCAAGAATGTTCAGTAAAGTAAGATCTACAAACACATCACCATCACCAAAACACAATTTTGTCATGAATCCATCTGTGTCCTTTGTTTAATATGCACATAGACCAAGGTGAGCGACACAGGCTCTTTAGAGCCTCTAGTTGATATTGATTATTACTTGGAGAGAATGAGGGTGTGGATGAGGTTTGGGTCAAAAAAATATAGAATAGAGAATAATAGGCAACATTTTTAAAGAATAGAGAAAAATGGCTTAAAAAATTAAAGAATACAGAATTGAAAGACTCCCCATCCAGACCCTCGAATATTGGATTGAAGACAGATATTTAATTGTTTCTCTTTCATATTTTCACCACTTTTATAGTCTCGGGATAATTAAGAGGTAAATATATATAGACACCTGTTTTTTTGTTGAAGACATTGCCTATTTGATATTTTTTATTCATTTTTGTCCTTGGGTTGCTGTCTCATTGATGTAAACCCCACATGATCTTTCATTCATACTGGATATCGTTGAGTTATTTTATCTGTTCTATCTGTGTAAACAGAACACATGCCTAAACTCTTCAGTCTCAAAGGAGTTTGGTTAAGAAATGTTTGAATAAAATTACTAAATAATCATAATACATGTAATATCTTTATTTATAGAGAGTAGCTCATTCGGAGTTCAGTATTTTTGTGATTTTATTTTTAGCTCACCTGACCTGAAAGGTCAAGTGAGCTTTTCTCATCACTTTGCGTCCGTCGTCCTGCGTCCGTCGTCCGTCGTCCGTCGTCCGTAAACTTTTACAAAAATCTTCTCCTCTGAAACTACTGGGCCAAATTTAACCAAACTTGGCCAAAATCATCATTGGGGTATCTAGTTTTAAAAATGTGTGGCGTGACCCGGTCAACCAACCAAGATGGCCGCCACGGCTAAAAATAGAACATAGGGGTAAAATGCAGTTTTTAGCTTATAACTCAAAAACCAAAGCATTAAGAGCAAATCTGACATGGGGTAAAATTGTTCATCAGGTCAAGATCTATCTGCCCTGAAATTTTCAGATGAATTGGACAACCCGTTATTGGGTTGCTGCCCCTGAATTGGTAATTTTAAGGAAATTTTGCTGTTTTTGGTTATTATCTTGAATATTATTATAGATAGAGATAAACTGTAAACAGCAATAATGTTCAGCAAAGTAAGATTTACAAATAAGTCAATATAACCGAAATGGTCAGTTGACCCCTTTAGGAGTAATTGCCCTTTATAGTCAATTTTTAACCATTTTTCGTAAATCTTAGTAATCTTTTACAAAAATCTTCTCCTCTGAAACAACTGGGCCAAATTAAACCAAACTTGGCCACAATCATCATTGGGGTATCTAGTTTTAAAAATGTGTGGCGTGACCCGGCCAACCAACCAAGATGGCCGCCACAGCTAAAAATAAAACATAGGGGTAAAATGCAGTTTTTGGCTTATAGCTCAAAAACCAAAGCATTTAGAGCAAATCTGACATGAAGTAAAATTGTTTATCAGGTCAAGATCTATCTGCCCTGAAATTTTCAGATGAATCGAACAACCTGTTGTTGGGTTGCTGCCCCTGAATTGGTAATTTTAAGGAAATTTTGCTGTTTTTGGTTATTATCTTGAATATTATTATAGATAGAGATAAACTGTAAACAGCAATAATGTTCAGCAAAGTAAGATTAACAAATAAGTCAACATGACTGAAATGGTCAGTTGACCCCTTTAGGAGTTATTGCCCTTTATAGTCAATTTTTAACAATTTTTCGTAAATCTTAGTAATCTTTTACAAAAATCTTCTCCTCTGAAACTCCGTGGCATAATTAAACCATACTTGGCCACAATCATCATTTGGTTATCTAGTTTAAAAAATGTGTGGCGTGACCCGGCCAACCAACCAAGATGGCCGCCACAGCTAAAAATAAAACATAGGGGTAAAATGCAGTTTTTGGCTTATAACTCAAAAACCAAAGCATTTAGAGCAAATCTGACATGAAGTAAAATTGTTTATCAGGTCAAGATCTATCTGCCCTGAAATTTTCAGATGAATCGAACAACCTGTTGTTGGGTTGCTGCCCCTGAATTGGTAATTTTAAGGAAATTTTGCTGTTTTTGGTTATTATCTTGAATATTATTATAGATAGAGATAAACTGTAAACAGCAATAATGTTCAGCAAAGTAAGATTAACAAATAAGTCAACATGACTGAAATGGTCAGTTGACCCCTTTAGGAGTTATTGCCCTTTATAGTCAATTTTTAACCATTTTTCGTAAATCTTAGTAATCTTTTACAAAAATCTTCTCCTCTGAAACTCCGTGGCATAATTAAACCAAACTTGGCCACAATCATCATTTGGTTATCTAGTTTTAAAAATGTGTGGCGTGACCTGGTCAACCAACCAAGATGGCCGCCACGGCTAAAAATAGAACATAGGGGTAAAATTCAGTTTTTGGCTTTTAACTCAAAAACCAAAGCATTTAAAGCAAATCTGACATGAAGTAAAATTGTTTATCAGGTCAAGATCTATCTGCCCTGAAATTTTCAGATGAATCGAACAACCTGTTGTTGGGTTGCTGCCCCTGAATTGGTAATTTTAAGGAAATTTTGCTGTTTTTGGTTATTATCTTGAATATTATTATAGATAGAGATAAACTGTAAACAGCAATAATGTTCAGCAAAGTAAGATTAACAAATAAGTCAACATGACTGAAATGGTCAGTTGACCCCTTTAGGAGTTATTGCCCTTTATAGTCAATTTTTAACAATTTTTCGTAAATCTTGGTAATCTTTTACAAAAATCTTCTCCTCTGAAACTCCGTGGCATAATTAAACCATACTTGGCCACAATCATCATTTGGTTATCTAGTTTAAAAAATGTGTGGCGTGACCCGGCCAACCAACCAAGATGGCTGCCACAGCTAAAAATAAAACATAGGGGTAAAATGCAGTTTTTGGCTTATAACTCAAAAACCAAAGCATTTAGAGCAAATCTGACATGAAGTAAAATTGTTTATCAGGTCAAGATCTATCTGCCCTGAAATTTTCAGATGAATCGAACAACCTGTTGTTGGGTTGCTGCCCCTGAATTGGTAATTTTAAGGAAATTTTGCTGTTTTTGGTTATTATCTTGAATATTATTATAGATAGAGATAAACTGTAAACAGCAATAATGTTCAGCAAAGTAAGATTAACAAATAAGTCAACATGACTGAAATGGTCAGTTGACCCCTTTAGGAGTTATTGCCCTTTATAGTCAATTTTTAACCATTTTTCGTAAATCTTAGTAATCTTTTACAAAAATCTTCTCCTCTGAAACTCCGTGGCATAATTAAACCAAACTTGGCCACAATCATCATTTGGTTATCTAGTTTTAAAAATGTGTGGCGTGACCTGGTCAACCAACCAAGATGGCCGCCACGGCTAAAAATAGAACATAGGGGTAAAATTCAGTTTTTGGCTTTTAACTCAAAAACCAAAGCATTTAAAGCAAATCTGACATGAAGTAAAATTGTTTATCAGGTCAAGATCTATCTGCCCTGAAATTTTCAGATGAATCGGACAACCCGTTATTGGGTTGCTGCCCCTGAATTGGTAATTTTAAGGAAATTTTGCTGTTTTTGGTTATTATCTTGAATATTATTATAGATAGAGATAAACTGTAAACAGCAATAATGTTCAGCAAAGTAAGATTTACAAATAAGTCAATATAACCGAAATGGTCAGTTGACCCCTTTAGGAGTAATTGCCCTTTATAGTCAATTTTTAACCATTTTTCGTAAATCTTAGTAATCTTTTACAAAAATCTTCTCCTCTGAAACAACTGGGCCAAATTAAACTAAACTTGGCCACAATCATCATTTAGTTATCTAGTTTTGAAAATGTGTGGCGTGACCTGGTCAACCAACCAAGATGGCCGCCACGGCTAAAAATAGAACATAGGGGTAAAATTCAGTTTTTGGCTTTTAACTCAAAAACCAAAGCATTTAAAGCAAATCTGACATGAAGTAAAATTGTTTATCAGGTCAAGATCTATCTGCCCTGAAATTTTCAGATGAATTGGACAACCCGTTGTTGGGTTGCTGCCCCTGAATTGGTAATTTTAAGGTGATTTTGCTGTTTTTGGTTATTATCTTGAATATTATTATAGATAGAGATAAACTGTAAAAAACAATAAATGTCGGCAAAGTAAGATCTACAAATAAGTCAACATGACCGAAATTGTCAGTTGACCCCTTTAGGAGTTATTGCCCTTTATAGTCAATTTTTAACCATTTTTTCGTAAATCTTAGTAATCTTTTACAAAAATCTTCTCCTCTGAAACTACTGGGCCAAGTTAATTATAGATAGAGATAATTGTAAGCAGGAAAAATGTTCAGTAAATTAAGATGTACAAACACATCACCATCACCAAAACACAATTTTGTCATGAATCCATCTGCGTCCTTTGTTTAATATTCACATAGACCAAGGTGAGCGACACAGGCTCTTTAGAGCCTCTAGTTTTTGGATTAAACCAATTTTCAATGTGGCTCTCTAGACACAATATTAACTACATAAATAAAACATTATCAATTTACCAATACACAATGATAAACAATATATTGTATAATATATATACATTGTACATGTATAACAAAAATAAATAACAAAGGTATACATTGTGGTTAAAGTTATAAATACAACACTTTCATGTATTGATGTTCCAATTGTCTTCACAAAAATAAATTATTTTTCAGCTTTTCTTCTTTTCTTCTTAGGATATGATAAGAGCCATTAAGGCAAAACATGTGTAATGTTTTGTGTATAAAGTTCTCCTCATGCCATTTAGACATAGTAATTTTTGAACAATTCCTGTCAAACGGTATTTTTGTTAACATAATATGATGACAATTTAAAGTTTCTAACATTCAGATTTCCAGTACACATTGAATGAGGTTATAAAACTTACAGAGATAATTCCTGAGTGTGAATGTTCAATTTTCTCTGAAACTGCAAAATAAAATCTGAATTTATAGGAATAACTTAACTATTCTAATTTATTCTCTGGTCACAGATGATTTTATTGTGGGAGATCCTTAAAAGATTTCTTTTTCCAATCAGAAGACAGTGATTCCTGTTATACCTTTTGTGAAAGTACAGTTTCATATTTTTTCCACAGTTGGTAAGAGTAATGTATCAAGAGTCA